AGCCAGGCAATCGAGTAAGTGGAAAAACTCAGTTTATGCAAAGTCATAAAAATCAAAAAGAACAAAATGTTTTAAGTATTAAACTTTGTTGTCTACATGCTAAGAATTTTTCAAGTGAAAAGGTAAGTGTACTTTTATGTAACTCTCCAAACTTAACGTGGATGAATCTAATCTGTCATGCAACAATACCTGACGGTCTTTGTGTCTTCATTTGATTAAAAAACAACAAAAAACAGAGTCTGGTGTCCTATTCAGAGCAACAACATCTATACAGGCTTGTTTACTCATCTCACAGTTCACACAGTGAACTAGTTGAAATGATTGAAACTCTTGAACCAACTAAAATTGTACCATGTGTTGTTCCAAATAATTTAACTTCAAGTGCGGTATGTAATCATACTTTGTAAGTGCTTATAATTTAACATAATTATTCCTACCTGACTAGTAATCCTAACAAATATCAGCAGGTTGTTGAGGTTTTACATTCAAGTTGTAATCTCAAAGCCAAATGCCATGATTCTGACTCTGTTCTTCAATTTTCTTCCTACGAGGATGTGGAAAGCACTAAAGTGGAGTACATTAAGAACATTAAGGAGGAAAAGGAGGAGAAAAATTGTGGTGCACTCCTCACTATCTCCAAAGTATGACACTTTGAAAAGTTCACATTTTTTTTACTAACTTCACATTAATTAATAATATTAATATGGTCTCCTTTTAGTATAATGTTAATGACTCGTCAGATGAAAATGACTACTTGACAGATGAAAGTGATGACAATGAACTGCCTCCGTTCAGTTGGGACTGTCATTATGATACAAACAAAGCCCTAAAAAAAGAGAAGTATGTTTCCTTTCCTTAAAAAAATTCAAAAGTTTTGAGCATAGCAAAAACTGGATTTCATTAAACTTTTTTGTGCTCTCTACAGGCAACCATACAAAAAATCAAAACTTGGCTGAAAAGGCTGTGATATGGGATGTGATAAACCAAAACTTTTTCATGAATTTAAATACCACTTTGCTATCATGATTTCTGTGATCAAAATTTTGTGTCTAAAATGAAGTTATGACATTGTTTATTTAAGACTGGTATAGACTGCAAATAAATGTGAAATGAGAGAAAAGGTGACTTCTATCGGATAGAATCTATCCTAACCACTTAAATAATCAACTGTATGCACAGACTGCTTTACTAGTTCCACCGACATTTATTATTTCAGTGCACTTACCTGTATTTTGCTGCTGCAACTTTACAGTTTTTAAATCCACCCAAAATAGCAGTACAAGCAGTACAATTTATATTTTTTTTAAACACAGGAGATATTTTCGGGCATATCTCAGTTGAAAGTATTTATTTCCTCTTTGAATTCTTTTCTGCCTGAGAGAATTCTTTCCCATGGTCTCAGAATAGTTAAGGTTTTGTTTAAGACGGGAAACTTCTATCTTTTACTGACACCATAGTGGAATCTCAGTCAAATTCAGTGATAAAAAGATGACTGGAAATCACTGTTAACTTACCACAAAGCAATGCTCTGCAGAATTGCAAAGTATTTAGATTATTTGTAACTACACAGCATTTACTTTGACAATTACAAAGTGATGCTTAGCAATTGCGAAGCAATGAAACTTGCTGCAAAGTAACGTTTTGTAATTGCAAAGCATCACTTTGTAATTGTAATTGCAAAATACGCTTCGTAGCTACAAATGATCTAAATACTTCGCAGTTGTGCAAAGCATTGCTTTGCAGGAATCTAACAGTGATTAGAGAAAAGAGGTGTTCAAGCAAGGGGTAGAGGGCTGTTGAACTGGAACAGTTGTAACCAGCACCTGAAAACAGTCCCGCCTCTTGCACGACCCGGCCGCGGCTTGAGCGCAGTGTAGGAAAGCCTTCCAGGGGCTGGATCGGCCGGCCGCCGCGGAGCTGTGTCCGCCGGGCCTGCCTACGCCGGCTGGCTCCGGCGTGGAGGCGCAGGCGCTGGGTAGGCCGGCCGCCGCGGAGCTGTGTCCGCCGGGCCTGCCTATGCCGGCTGGCGGCAGGCGGTCCCAGCGCAGCGCCCGTCGGTCGCCACTGCTAGGTCCTCGGTCTTCAGGCCGGGGCGCTCTGCCTCGCACGCCAACAGGGCTTGGATTTTTAGATAGATGTTGAAGTCGTATATTTGTACCAGTGTGCGCCGAGGCGTATGCCTCAAGAGTAATAATTGTGGACAGCCCACGATAAAAAATGAAGTTCCTTGAATTTCAAAATCTGGTCTTGGGTTTGAAAGGCGTACTCCCTAGGATCCAAAACCAGGTCTTGAAATTCCAGAAAAGTTTTTTTGCCGTGTCTTGCTACTTTCCATTATCCCGCCTCCCTGCTGTTCCTTCAACCGAAAAGAACAAGACGGAAAACTTTCACGTATACACTACGGGAAATCTCTAACAGAGCAGACAGCCGAAATTCGCGCCTACTTTTCCTTGAGGAGAGCGGCGGCGTGTCACGGCGAAGCGTCCGCATTGCTGGCCGCTACACCAACTAGTCCAGTCCAATCTAAGCTTTCCGCCGCTTATCTGTCGAGTCAGGGCGAGTTTTATTTCTCGGCCTCCCTCCCCCCTCTGGGCCCGACACGACCCGACAGCAACAGCCCGCGTGAATGACAGTGAAGGATCACACACGTCCTTTGACCGAGTCGAGTCCGCCAGCGAGGAG